GCTGCTGGATACATTCTTGTACCTGCCCTGACTTTATGAGCTTGTTTCTCATGGCTCCCGAACAAATAACAAGGATTTAAACTTGTGAATGGACAAAAATAAATCATTGTATACATATAATTTAGCCTACCATTCCCAGGTTGGGGGAGTGGGAGGTAAAGCCATGGAGGACTGTGACTGAGTGGTAGAGCATCTGCTTTCCATGCAAAGTCCCAAGTTCTGTTAAATCCCTGACATCTCTAGGCAAGCCTGGAAAAGATTCCTATCTGAGAACCTGTAGAGATGCTGCCAGTCAGGGCAAGAAATATTGAGGTACACGGATTAATGATCTGACACAGTTTAAGGTGGCTTACTGTATTTCTTTGTCCCTATGATTGCTTCATGGGAGCCAAAGTAGCTTCCATTAAGAACTTAAAAGACCCACTTAGCCAAGCATCCTTTTCTTCCAGTGGCCAGCCAGCTCTGCCTTTGGGAAACCTGAGCACAGCACCCTGCCTGCCTGCAGTCCCCAGCAAATGGTATTCAGAGACGTACTGCCTCTGACAGTGATGGCAGAACACAGTAATTGTAGCTAGCAGCTATTAATAGCCTTATCCTCTGTGGATTCATCATCACGCTTGATATTGTGGATATGTCTTTAAAAGGCTAAAGCTCCTCTCTGCTACTCCTCTCTCAGCATTATATATCATAGTACACATTCTAGAACAGAAGTTTGTTCCATCATTCCCCTAGCTGAGACCCAACCTAAGATTTATTTATTTTTAGTGGATTTATAAACCACCCTTCAAGGCTCTCAGGGCATTGCACAATTTTAAAATAATAAAACAGATAGGATAAAATTCAATAAAAGGACAATACAAAATCACAGGAGCTACAGCCATAAAATTCAGTAGTCGGTATAATCCAGCAAAAGTCATAAATACAGAACTTAGATAAGCCATAAAACAGACTGGAATGCCTGAGCAATTTTTTAAAAAGTCTTTTGCTTAGTACCACATATATATAAATAGTATTTTTTGCTATTGTGAACAGCTCTGAGCTTCCCAGAAATGCAGCATACAAATATTCAATTAACGAATAAAAACCAGTTTAAGCAAGCTTCAGTTGCATTGGCAGATTTCATATATGGGATGCCACAACTAAGAAGGTCCTCTCCCTGGTTACCATCTGTCTATTTCTCATAAGCTACCCAATAGAAGGCCCCTGTGGTCCCTGCCACTAGCTTGGGATGCTAGAAGAATCCACTGGGCTCAAGTTCCAAAATGAACCCTCCCAGACGAATGTGCACATTGGAATGTTGTTTTGTTTTGTTTTGGAATCCATTCTTCAAAAACCAAAAATGTCACCCAATTTTTGCCTTTAAGTTAGGGCATGGTCTGAGGACTACCTGAAACCCTTTTCCCTGTAGTGTTTGGTTTTTGGTATAGCATTCAGCTGCTTGGAAAGACTAGAGAGCAAATCAGCTTCCACAGCTTGCAAATGAGGTTGCATAAACCTGTAGGACGATGAATACCGCTTTCAAACTTTGTACAGAGGAAAATGTGGTTGCCCTCGTGTACCCATGGTAGTGGCCATCTTTTTTTTCCCATACAATGTCCCAGTGTGGGGAAAAGATGGCCATGGGTACCTGGGACCAGTCACTCCTTTCTCCATACAAAATTCCTGGGACGGCCAGGGGCTTTTGCAGTTCCTTTTTCAAATGGTGGAGCAGTGGTGCTTTCTAGCTAAGTGGCAGCTGTACAAAAGAAAAAAAGAAAAAGCTTTTTTAAAAAAGCTTTTTCTTTTTTCAAGAGAGTTTTGTGCTGATATTTTCCCAAAATTCTACACATAGATGGGACAGAACTGTCTTTATATTGATTATGTTCAAAACTGATGCAGACTCATTTTTTACTATTCCATCCATCCATCCCTTCCAGCAAGAGCAAACCATCAGTGCCCAGACCAATGGGCCATCTTTACAACAGCAAAGCAAACACTGCACTCTCTTTATCTCCTTCTGCAGAGCGGATGGCATATTACACCTCCCGGATGCAGTTCCCAGTGGAAGTGGCTGCTCAGCCAGGAAGACCAGGACCCCCTGGTAAAGATGGTATACCTGGACGGCAAGGGGCTCCAGGTCCCCCAGGAATGCCAGGGCAGATTGGGAGAGAGGGTCGACAAGGTGTGCCTGGAATGAGAGGTACGCACTTCCATTTCTGTCCCTGATGGTGGCAGGCTCAGAGGGCCTCTTACACCCTGCAGATTAATTTGTTTTTGCTCATTTCAATGACAACCTAAGGATTTGGATTGTGGGATGTTCTAGGTATTCTTGCAGTGAATGATTTATTCCTTCTCCTTGCTAGCAATTACATCTACCACATTTGGCATGAAACTGACCAGTGTTTAGCTATTGAGAAGACACAAGCATTAGCCTTAGCATCAGTATCAGTATCATAAAAGACCTACGTTAGCAGCAAACTGATGCAATGAGAACAAGGCTCTGTGCTTCTGATACATGGAGACAATTCTGTAGGTGCTGGTGGTGGATCAATCACCTTGCAGCTTCTCTTCTTTTTCCTTTCTCTTGGTGCAGGTGAGCCAGGAGCCAAAGGTGAAAAGGGAGACAAAGGGATTGGAATCATGGGAGAGACTGGCCCTCCAGGTCCTCCAGGTACAGGCCTCTTTTTCTTTCTTTTTATTATTATTTTATTTATATTTTGACAAAGTAATAATAATAAATAAAATTAAAATGTGTGTACTTCCCCCCCAAGACCATTCCATTGTAACTATCCAACCTCCCAAAAGGAGGTTTGTGATGGTTTGATCCCTTTCCATTTTAACAGAACAAATTCTACAAATACCTTCCATATCTCCTCAAAATCATTTCTGCTGCATTTTACCCATCTTACCTTAACAGCACGTTAATTTATCATTAATAGCTATATCCCACACGTCTTTATACCATTCTTCCATTTTATATTCAGTTACCTTGCCCCTTCCACTTCCTAGCTAAAATAACCCATGCAGCTGTCAATAAATTTGTGAACAAGTCCTTCATAGCCTGTGAACCTTCCACCCCATCATAAATTGATAATAATGCTACCTCTGGACTTTCGGTCAGCTTTAACCCAGTGGTTCTGTTATATCCTTAAACACCCTTTGCCAATTGTACATATTTACACCCCCACCACTTGTGAACATAAGTCCTAGGTTCCTGAGGCCTCCTTTTCTTCCTGCACCATAACAGGCATCCTTTTTAAAACAACTTGTTTACTTCATTTGGGTATGTGTATACACACATACACACACACATCATAAGAGTGAATTAGTTAATACAGAAAGTAAGAGTGAGTTCTTTTTCTGTAACTTCATAGAGATATAAAGGTTGACTCCTCCTTAGAGACTCCTGGCCTTCGTCCTCCTCCATGCTCTCACTGCCTGTTCACTTGCCCTCCCCAAGCATGCAAGCAATGATGAATGGAGATAAAAGCCTCGCCCTTCACTTGTGGTTGTGCAGATATGACCCAGAGGGAGAGGGCAAGTGATATGGGGAGTAGCGATAGTAATGAGGAGGTGGGCCTCCTCAGAAGGGACTGCAGCTTGCTCAAGCAGTAAGGACTGCGAAGGGGGTGGGGAGGATGTGAGGCTTATTCCCAGAAGCTCCTGCCCTTCCAGAAAGTGGAAAGCACAAAACAGTCTACATAAGCCCCAATGGATGAAGCTTATGAAATGGCCCTCTTTCTCATTTCTTCTCTGCAGGGATACAAGGACCACCAGGGTATGGCAAGATTGGTCTTCCAGGACCTATGGGACAGCAGGGCATCCCAGGCATCCCAGGACCCCCAGGCATTACAGGGCCGCCTGGAAAAACAGGTCACTGCAACCCTTCAGATTGCTTCGGCATGATGCCTCTAGAACAGCCAATGTATCAGCCCAAAAACATGAAGGGGCCTTTAGGCTGAAGCACTGACAGGTTTTCTTCCACAAAGGACTCCATTGGGATTCGCCAAAGTTCTGGTCCTTGTGACTAGTCGTGAATGATTATTTTTTCATTGTTGTTAATATTTTGACTATATATTTTTCGCCAGTGGGGTTCAACCGTTCATAATTATATTTTGTTTTTGTTTTGTTTCAAAGACAACGATCCAAGCATGTGTGGCTGTGTGTATGTTTGCCTCAGTATTCTAAAGGGAAGTTGATTTTGTCATCTGTGTTCAGCAAAATACATTTCAAAATAATGCTTCAGTCTTTCAATTGCTGGGGGCAAATAATGGGTAGATTACTTCCACACCTCTTCTGTTTGTTAGGAATGAATTATTAGCCTTTCAACAATATGTGCAGGTGCATATTCCACCAGGAAATTCCAGTAGCTGTGCAAAAAATGTGGAAGTGCTCCTATTGTTAAGTTCAACAGAACTTGTGTGAATTGGCATCTTTGTCATAAGTTTAGGTTAAAACTTGAAAGAATGTGGATATGGAGGGTGGAGTTCTAAAATGGAATTAACATTGAAATTCTGTGTGTGCCTACTCTGTATTAAGCCCCATAAATTGACCGAGAGTTGCTCCCAGGTGAACATTGGAGCTGAACAATACTGAACCTTAGTTATTCTGTCTGCAGCAAAAAATGGCAGGCACTCCTGCATCTAAAAATAACTGAAAAATCAGTTCTATGTGACACACACACACACCATTTTGTGTATTATGATGTAATTACATTTTTGTCCAAATGAGCAAAATTCTGGTTTCTTCCATTTCTATTGTACGTAATGTGAAACGTGGCCAGGGGCAAGGGAGAGGGATTATACCTTTTTAATATACTGGAATCAGTGACTTTTCTTTAATGTTACTGGAACATCAATTGTTTACTTTTCATAAAATATATTTTTCACTCAAAAAAAAAAAAAAGACCAAACAATGCTTATCCAAAGTTAAAGATTTTACTGACTGCTGGAATCTCTGGGCATTACAATTGGGAGATTTTAGAGTCAGATGAGAAACTGCGGTCAAACATCACTTTTGCTCCCCCTTAAAATAAACACACCACACCCCTTCATGGTAACCAGCTCTTTCATGTAATGGCATACTGGGGAAATGTGGATTTAAAAAAAAAAAATGCTCAAAAATTCCCCCCTCCCCAAAATCCTCTTGTTCTTATATGCCTTCAGACCTCAAATTTCTTTATTTTGGAAATAAGAATTGGCTACCAAGCAAGCTGTTTGTGTTGCTATGTAGCTTCTGTCAGCTATTCCTAGACTTAAAACTAACTAGGTTAGAGTAATTGTGAGCATCTCATTGCAATAGAGGTTTACATGAAATATGCCCCTTAACGTCTTGGTAGAGGAGAGTAAGTAGTCGAGTCTTTCCTCAGCTGAAGAACCTTTCCTAATGGTTAGCCATTCTATTTAAATAAATGATGCCTTGTTTCCTAATTGGTATTTGGCTCACTTTCATTTCAACCCTTTGGCTCACATGCTGTGTTTAAACCTAGCAGATTACAACACACTTTTATGCCGTTCCGTGAACAATGTCCATTTACCAAATGGACTCTGCAGCAGGAAACAGCCAGAGAACGGCAAGAATTCTTGTTTGACAACCTGCTTTGGTCCTTTTGTTAGAAAACAAGGGTTGTGATTAGAAATAATGGTTGCAATTACAAAATCTTGGCTCCAAACATGAAAATATGGTGGTTAAGTAAGGCTACACTAGCTCAATCACACAAGGGAGGGTTTTCTCCTGTTCTTTTTTCTGAACAATCTAAAACTTAGTTTGACAATTTACACACAAATCTCTTGTCTCTTTAATTAGAGGGAGACCACTTTCACCAAATCTAGATGAATCTGAAATCATACTCTGATACTCCAGGATATATGAAATTGCAATAACCTTGTTCTTGAATGAAATGGATTCATTTCACAATAATCTTTAGGCTAGACTACTGAAATTGCATTGTGTGTGCAAGTATCTTGGACAGTCTGGGCAATCAGCTTCTGTCTTCTGCATAAAAGACAGGATGTTGATCTTCACTCATAAAAGCCTAAAAGTTTTTGCCCCTGAATACTTAAGAAGCTGCCATTATATAGCCCATTGCAAACAGCATTGCCTCTTGAAGTAAGAATCAGTGCATTTAACAAATTTAAATCACATCCTCTCCAAAAACTTATAGTAGCTCATGATCTAATGTGTACCATTGGATATTGGACTTGGAGCCACAACTGCAGGATCAGTATTCTTACTGAAACACATAATTGAATTAACATTGCAGTTAAATAAAACAAGATTTTTAAAAAGAGAGATTATAATATAATTAACATCAATGTAATTTATAAAATATAGTTATATATCATAATACAGCTCAATACATCTTATGCAAAACAAGGCAATGAGAATAATAGACACTGGGAGCAAATGACATTATAGCTTCCGAAAAGCTCATCTGAACAAGAAGGCTTAACGTCAAGAAGAATCACTGGGCAAATGTCCCATAGCTTTGGAGCCACCAAAGAGAAAGCAATGTAACTTTTACTGGTCTTGCATCCAGTGCTTTTTTTCTGGGGGTACTCGAGGATACACAGTACCGGCACCTCCCCCCCAAAACGTTAAAACTGTGGCACTTACTATAACAACTTCATGGTGAGTACTGGCACCTTTTTTTTCTTTTCTTTTTAAAAAAGCACTGCTTACATCACTTAAACATAAAGCTTTGAGCAGGGAATCCATTCAAGATCCTAAAAAAAGCAGCAAGGGGTGTGCCTAGGGATTTCTGGTCACCTGAAAGATGCATGAACAGACCCTTGAGACGCCCAAGGACCTTAAATCTTCCTTTGAACCCTTCTCATTGCCCCCTGCATCAAAGTCATTTGCCTTGACTGTTTGTCAGCATTGATGTGACCCCATTGCCCACTCCCCAAAGAGCCTGTGCATTAGCATACAAGGGCACCATTACAAGGGCACCATTACATCTATCTTCTTCCATATGTTACCATGATTGCTCAGAATACAAGCCTTAATATACATCTGAGGACTATTTCTCAATATTAAAGTAATAAGCTACTCTGGAACATGATGATTGGGGAGTCAGGTTGGAATTCAGCTTACATGTGCCATGAGAACCATTCCCCACTGCAACCCTGGATCGATGCTGCTGGAGGATAGGCAATTTATTTGTCTGACAGAACTGGCACAGAAATCTGCACACTTTCCAAATACACAGGAAGACAGCTTTTAATTTTAGTTTGTTTCATTATTGTACCAGAGTGCCAATGACAGTCGCTCAGAAAGCAGCAGATACAAGATCAGAGCATTTCAGGAAATTGAGTTTCATTTAAAAAGTAAACAAAATAGAAATTTGACATTTATGATGAAGGCTGTCCAGAGAAGGAAAGGAAAGAGAGACGGGTGAGAAGTGATTCCACCAAGAGCCTTTTAACCATGCATTCAGGTGAATGGAAGTTGAAAGGGGGTAGGACACACATGCCCATGTTTGTTGGGTGCCAGGATTGGATATTCACACTCCCATCCCAAACAGTGGAAAGGTGCAAAGAACTTCACTCTGTGTAGTAGTGATTCAGGTAGGAGTCATTTTTCCATTGGCGGAGAAGCATACCAACACCATTTCAGGTGCCTGTCCTTCTCTGCTCTTTTAAATATGGCAGCTATTTTGTGTTATGCAACACACCCCACAACAACCATTTTGTGACTGGCACCCACAGCACTTTCTCAAAATTCCAGATGTGCCCACTGTCCCAAAAATGTTGGAAAGGCATGGACTCTGGTTGGGTTGGGAGATTAAGATTAACAGAATCATAGAATTGTAGAGTTGGAAGAGACCCAAGGGTCATCTATTCCACCATCCCATGGAATGCAGAAATCTCAACTAAAGAATTCATGACAGAAGGCTGAACAGGCAAACTTGATTGCCTTATATTGCTTGGGGGGGGGGGGGACAACTCACACATCCTCCAATTCACGTTAACCTGAAACTGGGCTTCACATTTTTAAGTTCGGGCATATTGAAGCCCCAAAGCACGGATGGCTTAAGATTTCTTATTGCCTTTAGGCAGATGTGTCGCTTTCTCCCCCCTCCCCCCAAATGATGCAACATCAGCTTTCCAAGCACAGCAGTAACTACTTTTCAGTGGGATATGGCTTCTTATTAAAATAATCTGCAAGAAACTGTTTTTTCACTGCTTTTAAGCTCTGTTGGAATGGCTATGGATTTAATGCTAAAACATGAATATTCACAATGGAGGGCTGACCTTCAGACTGATGATCATTCTTTTGTCTTTTGGAAGGCACAAAATTCACCCCCTTTTCTGGAACTCAGGCTGTGCCACCGTTTCTTAGCATCAGGATAAATCTAAAAAGAAAGTAAAAAGAGACTTCTCATTATTTATTTATTTATTTTATTTATGAATGTCTTTCTCTGGAAGTGAGAGTGGAGCTGGGATTCCAAGCTAAGGCTATACAGTATTAATCATGGCAAGACCCATTTCTAGAACCACCTGCAGTTCACTGGTTTGGAGGTATAAAGATGCACACCCAGCTGGGAGCTGTAAAAAGCGAGGCAAGTAGAGCATCTTTCTCTGGCATACAGGAGTCATTGATTTAAGGGTTTTTTGAGGCAGTTACAGCTTTTGATTACAATGACTCTCCAAAGGATAGGGAGGTCCTAGAGCAGTGCTACATAAAAGCATATATATATATATATAATATATATAATTTTTCTCTAAAAAGTGCACAAGAAATAAAGAAGATTTTTAAAAATAGTTAAAACTACCCTTCAGTTAATATGCCCGCTCGAATAAAAAATGATTTATTGTTATATTTTGCTATTACTTCTGTTTGTATAATGCCACGGTGGCTTCTTTGTGTAATTATTTCTGTTTCTGTTGTTGCTGCCACTCTGGCGGCGGCTCTTCGCTACTCAACCGCCCTGAGGCAAAAGCGAGGGAAGCGGAAGCGGCTCTTAGCAACGGTCGGCAATGGCTGAGGGGGCGGGGCTACGAGCTCTTCCCCGCGCACCAGCACCTCCCTCCCCTCCCAGGGAAAAAGAAGGCCCGCTTTTCTTTTTATGGACTTCCTCAGTCACAGGACCCCGCCCACGGTGGGTGACTGACGGGAGCTCGGCCCAAGTCCGCGGGAGGCTCAGCAAGCCTGTCCGCCAATTGGCTGCGTCAGTAGGCGGTACCAGAGCGGAAAGGAGTGGGCGTGCCAGCGGTGGCCCGAGCGGCTGTGAAAAGCTCAATGGCGGCCAGCTACCCGTATGGGCAGGTAAGCGAGCGAGGGAGGAGCGCCGACCGCCTTCTCCTGCCCCCTGCCGAGGGGAGCCTCCAGGGGGATGAAGGCCCCATCCGCTGCCTAGGCGACGGAGCGTTTCCGGGGGAACGGGCAGTGGGAGAGGACCCAGGAGTCCGGGATGATGGAGATAGGAGTCTGGAGGGGGAAAACGTACGCAGACAGGAAGCGCATCTCTCCCAGAGTGACGTCATTGCCGGCGTGGGCCTGTGAGGTGACATCATGGTTAGGCTCGAGTGCAAAGGATTCATTGGAGGAGATGTTGGAAGCGTCTGGCCTGATCACTTGGGTGATCAGAGGAGAGCTGGTGTAGCAGAGTGACAGGCAGCACTGTCCTGTGGGTGTTTACTCAGAAGTAATAATAATTTTATTATTTATACCTTGCCTATCTGGCTGGGTTTCCCCAACCACTCTGGGCGTCATACAGCATATAAAAATTTGCAAAACATCAGTTATTTTAAAAAATCCTGATACAGGGCTGCCTTCAGATGTCTTCTAAAAGGCAGATAATTGTTTATTTCCTTGACATCTGATGGGAGGGCATTCCATCGGGCAGGCGCCACTACCGAGAAGGCCCTCTGCCTGGTAAGTCCCACCGTGATCAGTAGGGCTTGGTCCCTAATAAGTGTATTTAGGAAAGAGGCTCAGCTGCCCATAGTAACCTCCTGGACTGAATCTCAGCTGTTCCACCAGGCAACCTTGGCCTCTGAAATCTGCCAGTGACTGCCCTTGCATGGGTATGGTGGGAAATGAAAAAGTGGCTGCTTCAGTGTTGTAATATGGCTGGGATTGGCCTGGGGCAAGCTGCTTCTCTTTCAGCCCCACCCCCAAGAATAGTGACCTGTTTAATAGTTATTATGGGGATTAACATGGAATTATTTAAGCACCCCAAGACATTAAGCTATGAACCAGGAAGTCCTTGGTTTGACTTTCACCTCTGGCCCTGTACTCACTACATTAGCTACTCTCATTCAGCCTCTGCTTCTCCCATTTGCAATATAGAGATGGTAATACTGGCCTGCCTTATAGGGTTGTTGCAAAACTGAAAAGAGCCAGAGAAATGCTTGATGGTGGTCTGATGATACCTTAACTGGTTAGAGCATGGTGCTGATAATGCCAAGATTGCAGGTTTGGTCCCCGTAATGGGACAGCTGCATATTTCTGCATTGCAGGAGTTGGACTAGATGATCCTCAGGGTCCCTTCCAACTCGATGATCTGTAAACAGTCATTGCTTATTACTCCTGAGGGAGAGTGCCTAGGGAGCATAGCTGCTATAGTTGTGTTAGGAGAGCAAAGTCCTGACAAGCAGTACATGTTACATAGGAACGAGAGAAGCTTCATTTCACAAACCCCTCTTTCCTGGGCAGCATGCCCCCCCCATCACACCTGTCTTGGCCACCAGAGTCAGGGACTGTAAGAGACAGCAGGTAGGAACCTCTGGCCTGCGGCAGACGTAACAATTCACAGCTTCAAGAGTCCATGAGATTCAGCTGCAGAGTGATTCTTCTTGGAACAATGAAAAGTGGGGGGACCATTGTCTATTTTAGTGTGTGTTGTAAATTATGTTGCAAGCCACCCTGGGTACTTTGCTTAGTAAGTGTCGTAAAAAATACTCCAAAATAAACTGCTGGAGTCTCCCAGTGTCCTTTCCTCTGTCATGTCCACTCAGTCTGACCCAGCTATGTATATGGTGCCCTTGCTAGCCAAGTGCTGTCAGTCTTGATGTGCAGTGGCCTTCCTTGACATGCACACACACTAAGCTCGTCCCCAGCCAAATGCAAGATTCCTCCCTCGTTTCCTTTGTCTTTCCTCTCTCTTTGTTTTGGCTTTGCTGGCCACCTTGAGATTGTAAGCTCTGTGGAGCAGAGACTAGCCCTTTCTCTGCTTACATCTCACATATAGAACCTTTGACCCTTCACATGTTGCAGTCTGAGCAAAGATTGCCAGTGGCCAGGGATGATGGGAGCTGTAATTCAGCAACATAGAGGGCCACACCTACCCCAAATGAAAGGTGTTAATGCTTGATGCACTTGTTGGTGGTGTTAGTTATCTTTGGTGACTAAGAGACATGTGCTGGAGTCCTTTGATCAAACACGTTTGGAAGCTTCTCTTCACCTCCACTGTGTAGAAGAGGCTCTGTGGTGTCAGGGCTGCAAAGTCGTCTCCTACTCTGCCTGTTCAGCAGGTTAAGCAGAGAATCGTTGCTTCCTGGGCCATTGGGTTCAGCTGTGGCCTTGGGATTTTCCATGTACTGAGACACCCCAAGTGCAAGTTCTTCTTACTATGCAACTGACAGCAGTGTTGGAGATGTGGCACTATCTGATTTTTGCAATATTTCATGCAAATTCCTTGCCTATAAGTAACTGTGCAGCAACATCATTGCAAAAACCTCCCCCGCCCCCAAGACCTTGGACTCTAAATCCTGGGAGCCATCCCTGCTACTCTGCTGGTTTCTCAGGGTCTTATTCCTTATCCCTGATTAATTAGTCCAAAATATCTTATCAGACCCAGTTTTGAAGTTTTATTTACTCCATTTCTAATGTAGCACTCGGTGATATATCCCCCCCCTCTCTCTCTCTCTCTCACACACACACACACACACACTTTATCATTCACAAGACCCTTGTGATGTAGATAGAGAGGACTTATCCAGACTTCCATTTGTGCTATGATTTGTAGGCATAAGACCATGTTTTCCAGGCATGGATCCAAGCAGGGCTGCTGTTGTTTTTGTCCCACCAAGAAAACTCTTTTACCACTGAATTGGAACAAACATCAGTTGAGTTTTACGTGGCTTGATGTTTGTTCCAGTTCAGCAGTAAACAGCAGGTTTTCCTGGGGGAAGCAATGGTAAGGGAAAAAAACAAACTGCTCAGAAAGCACAGACCTGTGCCTACAAATTGCAGCACAAACAGAAGTCTGGATAAGCCCAGAGACTGATTGAATCAAGGTCGTACAGTATGCTTCTTGCCTGAGTGGGGTGGTTGGACCCAGGATTCTCTCGTCCTGTTCTGACTGTCTGACCACCACTCCATACTGATTGTACATACTCATAGTTCCTTCCATGCATTGGTAGTGCCACTCTGCACTCAATCCAGGACTATTGGGTTAATCTCTCTGCATTATATTATCTTAACTATGCACTGGGAATGCATAGGCCCCTCTCCTCCATCATTGCATATTAATGGGGTGTAGAAATCAACTCATTCCCCCTGCCACTTTCATAGCCTTTTCCTTTTCCTGTAGGGTTACCCTGGTTCTGCAGGACAAGCTCCAGGTGCTCCGCAAGGCAACTATCCCGGAGGAGGCCAGTATGGAGGTGGGGTGCCTCCTGGCAGCTCCTATGGTGGACCAGCGCCTGGTGGTCCCTATGGGCCACCCTCAAGCGGAGGACCTTATGGCCACCCTTCCTCTGGGCCTCCTGGTGGAATGTATGGAGGAGGCCCAGCACCAGGAGGACCTTATGGGCAACCCTCTACCAATCCATATGGTGCTCCTCAGCCTGGCCCCTATGGGGCAGTAGGTCCTGGAGGTGAGTGCTAAAAGAGCTTAGGGCTGTTCTGATGACTATGTGCTTTCAGGTGGATTAGTAGTGTTCATGACACACAAATTCATTGAATGTTCCATATTTTTAATCTATAGCCTTTAAATCTGGGTGGGTATTGTTTTTGTTTGTTTCTATTTTAGGTGTTTTTGTGTTTTTATATTGTAAACTGCCCTGTGATCTTTGGATGAAAGGTGGTATCAAAATTTAATCAGTAATCATCATCATGGGGAGGAGGTCTCATGGATTGCCATATGGGGCGTGCTTTCTGAATTCAAATGACATGGTACTCCATGTCTTGTCTGAATGATGCCACCCGCTTTTCTGGGGCTGCTGGTATGTATTGCCCTGTTTTCTTGCTAATGAAATTTCATACCAAATTCTTTCTTTGAAAAAGTATTCTTGGCAAGACCTCAAAGCCAAACCTTCTGTGGGGTGGTGCTTTTCTTCCCTTCCCATTATAGGGTTGACAGACAGTCACGCACATCTCCAAAATTACCTGCAGTTTCTTCCACCCATGTGCCGTCCATGCCGTATCGCATCTGGGCTTCAGATTCTTGATACGAAGTTTCAGTTTGGGATCTAAAAACTTGGAATTTGTCACTTTAAATATCAACACTAGGAGACACGAAATGGCAAACCATACCTGAAAATACATTAGTTTATGCTGCTATGATGTAGTGGTTAGAGTGTCAGGTTAGGGCCTGGGAAACCAGGGTTCAAATCCTCACTCAGTGATGAAGCTTATTGGGCCACCTTGGGCCAGTCACTGCCTCTCAGCCTAATCTACCTCGCAGGTGAAATGAGGAGAGGCAGAAACATGGACGCTGGCTTGAACTCCTCAGAGAAAATGATGGAATATAAATTAAATAAATAAAGGTACATGTCTTTAATTGCAATGGGGGGCTTTCTCTCATACGAACACTGATCAAACCCCAGCCGGGGAAACCTTTGTAAATTTGAAAAGAATGTAAACTTCTCTCTCTCACACACACATTTTGGTTATTAATTAGCACACCACAAATACCATTTTGCAAGGCTGAGTGAAGCTTGTGTTTTGCAGATGTCACATTTCTGCCTCCCCTTTCCCAAATCTCCCAAGATTCACTTTCTTCTACTTACAAAGCGTTTCAAGCACCCAAGCGTCTATCTTTGGCATCTATCATATAAAGGGCCTCTTGGTGTGCAGCTGGAGCCCTTGACTCGAGTATTGCACCGCAGCGTTGGAGAAGCAGTCGCTAATTGAATTATTCATCTCCATTTAGATAGGCAGTTGAGAAAGACTGCATTATTTAAGGTTCCAAGGTGGGAGCCAAAAGGCACTGAAGCTGCCACCCTGAGTGGCGGAAATAAAAGTTTATGGCTGTGCATCTGTCTCCTGGAACTCGGTAGCATTTACATCCTGCTGAAACAACACACCTTCCGCATGTTTGCACTCAACTTTACAAACTATCTAAAGAGATCCCATTTATTTCCCTTCTGTTTTTACAAGGCTTTGCATCCCAGCTCCTGCTGGGGGGGTTGAGCCGTCTTCCGCAGGATTAATAACTTGGCTATTAAAAAAAACCTTTTAGAAAACAATGGCTGACTCAGCGGGCATGAGAGAGGGCCTGTCCAATCCCTGTTGCTCTAGCTGCCAAAAAACTGCTGAGCTAAAAGCTTACTGCCAGTGGCAATGGGCGCTTGCCATGCCTTGATGAATGGCCATGCGGTTCTCCTAATTTGTGTTCTGCCCTTTCCCCAGCAGGGAACATCCCCCCAGGTGTGGACCCAGAAGCCTTCTCTTGGTTCCAGAGTGTGGATGCTGACCAAAGCGGCTACATCTCAGTCAAAGAACTCAGGCAAGCCCTTGTCAACTCCAACTGGTCCGCCTTCAATGAGGAAACTTGCTCAATGATGATGAGTGAGTCCAGATGTTGATGATTCAAATCAAATGTGCTTGGAGTGGGAGGGGTCTGGAATATTAATAATCTCTCATAATACTCTGTACTTTGGTATGGTGACTAAGACACGTGGAAATAGACAATTGTGGAAGACGCAATACAAGATTTTCTTTAAAAATACTTGTATCAGGGGCTGGGGACTTTTCTGCTGACAGTTTCCCTTTGAAGTTGAAAGTATAGATGTGCCCTGCTTCAACATATGTGTGAATTTATGCTAGAATGCAAACGTCAGTTTAAAAACTGTTCTTGTTATCTGGGGGGACTCAGAACTTCATAGCAGATGCTTACTTTCCTGATCCTGCTTCAGGTTCTAATTCTCAAAATAGAAGAATATGGAACTATCAAAAGGAACAGGATGCACTAGGCTGGCAAAGGCATTGCTAATCACTAGCAGACCTACATGATCAGAAGCCAGAGTGGATCAAATGTGAACCAGTTCAAATACCATTTTGGTAATGAAGGTGCAGGGTATAAAATCCTCAGCACCACCCTCAACCAAAATTGCAAAGTGGAATCATTTTGTTGTTGTTGTAAGGACTGCCACATAATGTGTGCCAGGCGTTGCCATTTTAGCACCCACTGGCATGCATGTACCTGACACTCACAGGTTTCCCTTCCCTGCTCCTCCCCTCTGCTGAAATTAGGCTCAAAAGAAGCATTCTGTTGTGACCAATGGAACAGGTTGTGGTGTGTGTGCTTCATTGCGCAGGGAAACTGCCCACAACATTTTCTCTGATTTGCAACTCTGCTCACAGGCCCCAAAAGGCTGACAAACCCTGATTATGCAGAGTGCATTGAACACTTGAAATGAGCTGTATAAATGCCAAGGCTGTTTGATGTTCTTCAGTTGTGCTTGAAGTTCATGGACTCCCATGCTTGCCTTCCTCAGAAACGTGAGATGGACGTTTCATCTCCCTCATCATCATTATCCCTCATTATTATTATTTCAATTTTTGTCCTGCTGTTCCTCCCAAAGGAGCTTAGGACAACCATACAGCATTCGCAATAAGACATAATTAAGACCCAACAAAGACTAAAACAATTAAGGAATATTTTCTTTAATTTCACAATTCCATCTGCTACATGTATGACCCATCAAATACTAACCCCCTGGGTGAACAAAAGTGCCTATAGATTTCATCAACATGTTGGCAATGTGGGGAACAGCTGCTCTTCACCAAGAAGGGAGTTCCATAATCAAGGTGCTGCCACAGAGGAGGCCCTGCTGCAGGCTGCCACCATTACCCCCAGGCCACACTTGCCAGCAGGGCCACCTGTCAGGTTTCCCTTGCTAGCCTTAAGGCTCAAACTGGTTAGCATTGGAGGAGGCAGGTATTTTAAAGTCCTTAGTCCCTTAGCTATTTAGGGCTTTGTATGCCAGTACCAGCACTGCATCTGGTGGCTCACAGGCAGCCAGTAGAAAGCTTTTAGGACTAGTGATTCATGGTCCCATCTTGCTGTCCCTCTCAACAATCTGGCAGCTGCATTTTGCATCAGCTGCAGTTCCTGGACTATCTTCAAGGGTAGATCAACATAGACGACATTGCAGTAATTAAAATGGGAGTAATTCACATAATAAATGTTAGAGAGTGTGTGCTTTTTTCCAGACCATCCTGCTGAAACAGTAATTGAGTTTAAAATCTTCTGTAGTCTTCAAAAGATCCTCCAACCTTGTTTGTGGAAAGCATTAGTGTCCTAGTGGCAGCACAGCCCTAAGAACAACCCCATGCTTGTCCTTGCTGCTGGCATGTGGCATGCAGAAGGTATTGTGAAGAATTTCATGTTACACTGGAGACAGACAATAGTTCTTAGAGGGCTGAAAGCAATGTGATAGATACTCTGCTTTACACACATTGTTTGGTCTCAAGCTTTCCTCTGGTCAAACAGATTTTGCTGGGTTTTGAAACACTGCACAAACCTGGTGGAGCAGAGGCAAAAGTAGGATTAGATGCCTCTCTTGTGTCGCCTTCAGTTCTTGGGGCTGTGTTGCAAGGCGGGTATTCTGTCTCTTGTTTTGAGTCAGCAAGTATATGGGACCACTGCTCAGTGCTCCACTCTTTTTTTTTACTGCCTCTGCAGACATGTTTGATAAAACCAAATCTGGGCGAATCGATCTCTATGGGTTCTCGGCCCTGTGGCGTTTCATCCAGCAGTGGCGGAATCTCTTCCAGCAGTACGACCGCGACCAGTCAGGAAGCATTAATTGTAATGAGCTTCACCAAGGTAAGACAGAACGAGGCAACAGTCCTTAAAGCCTCAAGAGGCGGTTCATGATCTCTAATGCTGCTGGAGAGTGGCTGTTTTTAGGCAGAGGTCTGTTCAGATTGTTGCTTTCGGGCTCAGAGGCCATTCCAAAACAATTGTGAAGAACAGACTGAGGTTTCCGCCATGGTTAGTGAGAGTTCCCCCAGTCAGGTCATCTCTTGTGTCCCTCTGCTTCTAGGCTGAACCATCCAGCCTTCTGTTGAACTGCTGACACAATCCAGATCCCCAATAACTGTGATGAGATTGAATCAATGCATTATGACCGGAACAAGCTAAAGCAGCCTTTGCCAACCTGGTGCCTTCCAGATGTTTTGGACTACAACTCCCATCAGCTGACAATGGCCGAGCCTAAAACCTAATAAACTGACAAATGTGAAGTTTTTGCATCAGGCAATTATGCCTCTTGCTGTGTCTGGAGAGCAGATGAGCTGATTTCTTCAGGAAGCTTTGACAGCAGTACAATGACTCATTGGACTTATGTGGTTCCTTGAGAGTGGAGCCATAGCTCAGTGGGAGGCTGCATACGCCTCATGTGAGAGGTTCCCAGTTCAGCCCCTGACATCTTTCAAGTAGGGTTGAACAAGTCCCCATCTGAAGCCCTGGAGAGCTGGCATCAGTCATTGCAGACAACACTGAGCTTGATGGATTCTGAGTAATGCAGCTTTTTCTAGCAGTCTCCGTAGGTTCATGAGAACCGAAATCCAAGTCCCTAGTTAAGTTATCTGGAGTGCCTTGGGGCTAGGCTTGGAAATGGAGAAAGAACTGGTCTAAGAAGAAGCTGAGCAGACACAGAGTTAGCAGTGGTTAGATGATGTGCCAAAAGAGGAGTGCGAAAAAAATGCATCATCAGGGACCGCTGAAAAACGTAGCCATGTAGAAATACTGGCATAGTTCTTGGGTGCTTGAACGCTCAGTTCTGAGTGACTCAAGAAAGGCCATCTTGTCTCAGTGTTATGTTAGTATTTGGGTGAGAAGAAAAAAGTTTAGCACTTGGGCAGTTAATGGTGATAATAATAACTATTATTATTGTTATAGCATTTTACCCTCCTCTTCAGCAGGAAAGATTCCCAGAGTAGCTTACAAAGATCACTCATAAGACAACATTCATAATAAGACTAATAACAGCTGCAAATCATTTGTGACTTCCACCCATGGCTGTGTGAAGCGTGGATTCTCATTTATTCTCTCTCCCTGCCCTCTGTTCTCCTAGCACTCTCCCAAATGGGCTACAGCCTGAGCCCCCAGTTTTCCCAGCTGCTGCTTTCCCGTTACTCACCGAAGGCTGCCAATCCTGGTATCCAGCTGGACCGCTTCATCCAAATCTGCACCTTGCTCCAGTCCCTGACCGAAGCCTTCCGGGAAAAGGATACTGGGATGACGGGCAACGTACGACTCAACTACGAAGACTTCCTTACGATCTCGACTGCTCGCGTGTTGTGAGAGCCAGGGGTATTGATTTTGTTGGTGATCCCACTGGTGGCTGGTGGCATTTCCTTCCACAGAAGGAAGGACCACTTTGTCCGGAGGACATTGTGTTGCAAAGGAAAATGAAATTGCCCTTCTCCATCACACCAGTGTAACGCCAGATGCTTAAGCTAGGTGGATTCTTGGAAAGGGTTTGGTTTGATTGCATTGAAACAGCTGCCTCTTATAGCCACTAGAGGGTGAGCCACAAACACCAAGTCAGACTGTCTGTGCCAGGCAGCTCTGCAGCAGCCCCCACTACCCTCTGCCTGAGTTCTCTCCTCTTCCCCCACTCAACCATCCCGCCAAGAAGTTAGAGGAGTTGGTTGCCAAGAAGTCTGAATAGAGCTTCTTGGTCCTAAATTGCCCTTCTGTAGTTTGCATGTGCAACCTGTAATCACCAAAGCAGAAAACAACACCTAGGGAAGAAAATTGGGTTCCATGCTTTTGTGTCGACAGCAGCCAAAATTCCTGCATTCCATGACATCCATGCCAAGTGCAGCTCCCTTCTTTGCCACTAGATGGGGAGACCATCAGCCAAGATTCCAGACTTCTTCTTTTTTCTGGGGAGGGTCTTTTCCCCTGAAGGCTTGACCTTCTGGTTAATGTGTCCTGGCAGATTTCTTTTTGCATTGCTAAAGTGCAAAGTCCCTTGCCAACTGCTCACTTGGCACTTCTCAGTTATTTTCTCAGTTGCCAACACGTTGCTTGTGATTTTTGTAAAGGCCAAAATCATAGATAAAGATGTGTCAGAAAGAGATTTATACCCAGGTAAAACTCTGTACAATAAAGGACCCTAAACACTCTCTTCCCCTTCTGTGTGTTTCTTTCGTGCATGAGAACTGTACAAAATACTGTGGGGATAAAATGGGATGGCCTAATGCAAAACCACCCTGAGCTGCTATGAGGGTGGCTAGGATGCAAATATGTTAGATAGAAAGCACCTGGAAGTGGGTGATATAATCCTCAAACCTGCCCTTTGGCAAGAGAGAGTCTGCCAGTTCAACGCAGAAGTGTGGAATTCCATGTGGCAAACAGCCGGGTTCTCTTCTTTTTATATTGAGTATCCAGCCCTTGTGGTTCCAGAAAATAACTATGAAGCACACTAAGGCATCGGATTCACAGGCCAGAGGAGAGCTGGGCAGGCGGTGATACTTCAGACAGTACCTGATTTTTCTCCCATGACCAATTATCTGGGCTTCTGCATCCTCCTACCATCTGCCCAATGTTCTTTCCTTGCAAAAAAAGCAGCCATGCATGTTGAATTTCATACATTAGTTTACGCTGCTTTAAATTGTTCTTTTTAAGGGGCCAGGGGCCATACCTCTGGCAGGGCTGGCTGAGTTTGGTCAGGGATGAGGGGAAAGGCATTTGTTTTCATGACTTCCCATCTGCCGAGTCCTGGCATTCAGGGCCTACTTAGCCCAAGGCAGAGGGGCTAACTGTAGTTTTGAGTTGTACCCTCACCAGGAAGGTGATGGGCACAAAACTTGAAAATCCTTATTAACAAAACACCATATCCTTCCACAGATAATAAATGGTTGGTGTCTCTGATGGTGGCACCAGAAGGAGCAACTCCCTCTGTGGCTCAAAAACTGATGTCTAGATGGTCCCTTTGTCTGCCTTCTGATCTCTCTCAGGGGACACTTGCTGGCTTCATGCCAAACAGCTCCCTTCTGCCTCTAGACATGGAAGTAGCATCTAGGTTCCATGTTGACCCTTGAGAACACACTGACTGCAGCCACACTCATCCAATCTGCACAATTTGTTTTGAGGGCTCAAACCCTCTTTCCATCGCAGGGTAGAGCAAGTTCCCCAAGCAAAGAACAGGCCCCTTGTACCAAGCCCATTTCCCAGCCCCTTTTCTCACTTTTGGCCAAGATAATTGAGGTACACCCAGACTCAGGAAGGTTTGGGGTTTTTTAGGTAGTTTGAGAACTTCTGTCAGATTGGTCTGGTGCCTTCTGGATGGAGAATTTCGCAGCCACAGAAACAGCAGGAGAAAGCAGCTTTAAGCTATTGCTGTAATTTCTCTTGCAAAAACAAACCAGGGGGAGAGGGGGAATCCGCCATGCAAATGATGAGATTAACTTTTAGCTTTGGAAGAAAATTGAACTGCTAATTACTCTTTCAGCTCTTAACGAGCAGCCTCTTCATTAGGCACGGTGTGCGGTTCTGGCTTCTGTGCCAGGCAGTTGGCTTTCCTGGTAGCCTGAGAGCCGCACTTCTAGCATAAAATCACTGCCTTTGCAGCAGAGCAAATAATTCCCACTTGTGCATTTCCAAGAACTCCTGGCGGTTTATGCATTGGCTCACCAGATGCAAGTTGTTTATTTTCACCTCCCTGCAGACATAATGTCAAAAGCAACCTCTGCCTGGAACTCTTTTCTTCCCACTCGTCTCAAGCAAAGAATTTGTATTTAGAGAAGCAAAGGTAGGCGAGAAATAACAGCGTAGATTAGTGGACCGAGGTGCTTGGTGAATGGATCTTTGTCCGTGGAGTAGTGACAGGGGTGGGGGGCAGGATGTTATGAATGCCTACCCACTCTTGCAAATTGGATGCCCTTACCTTGAATTTCCTGCTTTAAAGAAAATGTTTCTGCATTTCCTCCAAAATTTACATAGTTGTGACACACTTCCCCCATCCCAGCTAAATTAAAATGGCGAGCACCTTTCCTTCTTACACCTAAAATGTTTGCATTCAGAGTATGTATCTAAGGTATTTAACTTGAAAATGAGGGGTGAGCTCTGAGCAGTGACTCCTACGGAGACACAACAGGCACCCTTTGAGAGCAATTTCACTATATACAGTGGTGCCTTGCAAGACGAAATTAATTCGTTCCGCGAGTTTTTTCGTCTAGCAAATTTTTCGTCTTGCGAAGCACAAAATCCCATAGGAATGCATTGAAATTCAATTAATGCATTCCTATGGTCAAAAAAAGTCCAAACAAAGCCAAATTTGGTACAACAAGAGTTTATTAAGTGCTCTTTAAAGTCACACATACTGTAAAGAGCATTTCAAAAATTGAAGGAACAATAAATTAAGTTTCTAAACATGACAGAAAAACATTTAAAAATCAACAAAGTGTACAGTACATTTTCTAAGACTCTGGGGGACAACTCGAAGAAGGTTCCTCTTCCACTCTTTGCTTCTTGCTGAAGAACCCCTCCTCAACTGTTCCCCAGCCACCCACCACACAGAAATTCAAATCCAGAATTTTTTAAAAAACAGCAGAGTGGCCCAATGGTCACAGAAAATCATAAAAATGCAGGAAAAAACCACACAAGCTTCCAGATTCTTGCAAACCCCTCCTCAACTGTTCCCCAGCCACCCACCACACAGAAATTCAAATCCAGAATTTTTTTAAAAACAGCAGAGTGGCCCAATGGTCACAGAAAATCATAAAAATGCAGAAAAAACCACACAAGCTTCCAGATTCTTGCAAACCCCTCCCCAACACCAAGTCCTTGAATTCCAAACACCCCAACCCAAAATCCAAAAACCCCCAAAAAGTTTTAAAAGTTTAACTTACCAAATGGCTGCAAAAGAAGTTTTGGAAAAGCTTCAAAAATCACCAAAGTCTTCAAAAACCTCAAAAAAGGCTACCACACCGCGTTCTATGAGTTGCTCCTCGAAGTCAAGTCGCAACTGTATTAACGGTGTTAAGAAAAAGGAAACAAACTTGCAAGACATTTTCGTCTTGCTAAGCAAGCCCATAGGGAAATTCGTCTTGCGAAGCAGCTCAAAAAACGCAAAACCCTTTCGTCTAGCGAGTTTTTCGTCTTGCGAGGCATTCGTCTTGTGGGGCACCACTGTATCTAGTGATTGGATTGTTCAGTTGCACACAATACAGAGACACAGCATAATTACCTGTCAAAAGATGTGGAGGCAGAATAGTAGCAAGGAGTATCATTTGTGTATAAGTTACACACACTTTTCAGTTACTTATTTCTCACAGCATAGGATGGGAATTACTGGTTTAATTCTTTTACTGATGGTCTTATCTTGCAAACCTGGAGCATGCATCTAGATGGTGCAGTGGAAACCTAAGATTCTTAGTGAGTCTACTAGAGAAGTAGATCGGCAGTGTGAGAATTGGTTCCATTTTTTAAAAAAAGTAAAGTTTTTTTCCCTAACCCACACCTTTTCTGAGAGCACTTCTGTACGCTCATGCCTGGCAGTAGGTCCCATTGAATTCAGTTGGAGTCCATTCTGAGTAGATATGCATGGGGCTGCACTATTCGGAGACAGGATAACGTTGGTTTGGATGGGTTAGAGGCATTTGCAAGGAACTAAGCTCTGTCTTTCGTGCCTTCATTTTACATCTGTTGTAGACTGAGAGGTGTTCCTCAGCGTCAGTACCACTTTTGTAAAGAATTCCCCTGCTTTGATGGTAGAACAGCTGCTTTCAAGCTATCTTCCAGGGCACTTGGGCATTCCTCACTGGTCAGAAGAACAGCCAGTAGGACTAACTCCCCTGAAAGAGAGTCTGATTTTTCTTCTGCCAAGCACAGATGCAAGATTATGCTGGGTGCATTCTAGGACAGCAGTAGAACTGGGAGGATTTATTAGTAATTTGCTGAAAGAATTTCATTGGATGGGTAAGATTGTATGAATCCCAGTGGTTTAACGAAAATGCAAAGAATTCTCCCCCTACTCCATTCCAGCACTTCCAAACCCTGAAATGTGTGATCTGCAGTAACTCTCATGTAGATTTGCAATTCTTTATGTAAGTCATCTCAATGTATCACTCTGGGTGCAGTGCAGCAGGTAGCTGGATCCACCTTGAGCCATCATTTTGCACCTGGTTTCAGTTGGTGGATGACACATTTTTAGTAAAAAATAAAGTAGACCACATGAGTCTGAAGTCTGTGCCTATCCTAGGCCACTCTCCCCTTCGCGGATTTCCCATGTGCATCTGCTTGGTCACTGTGAGAACAGAGTGTTCGACTACAAAGTCCATCAGCTTGATCCATCAGAGCTCTTCTTATGCTCTTTGATGGTAGAAGGAAAGGCTGAGCAGGTCCTAGTCAATTCCCCACATCAGTTGAGGGTCCCCACTACAACGCAGGCTAGAATCCTCTGCACACCTATAGGGTCCGTTACAAGAGGTAGAAAGGATCCCTTAAAGACAGGAGTTTTAAGGTTTTGGAGCTTTTCTGTAAGTGATTTGTTTTTCTTTTACTTTGATTATTTACATTAATGCTTTCCCCTTACCTTAACGAAAGCACCTGAGGCAACTCATGAGCGTGAAAAAGCAATGCACAGCCAAATTAAAAACTAATGGGCAGGAATCAACTCTTTCTCCTGCATCTCAGAGAGGTAACTGATGTTCTTTTTTTTCTCAGCCCCTTTGTAATCAAGACCTCTTTCTCACACAACAAAGTGAGTGGCTGAAGGAAGGGTGCAGATAATTAAACCCAGGGCACTTAAATGCTCTTGCATACAAACAGTGGGTTGTATCTAGGGTTAGTCTACTCAGAACAAACCCATTGAAAATAATGGCATGGCTAACCTCAGCCAATTTCAATGGGTTTACTCTGGATAAAACTGATTTGGAGGTAACCCAGTGCCTTTTCCGCCATTTTGCCTCTGTATCTCAGGTGCCATGTAAATGCTAACATAGTGTCTGCACCTTCAATATCTTTTTGGGCTCAAGTGGTTGTGTGAGCTGTTTTCCACATCTAGAAATGCACATCAGGAGCAGTAGGGCATGAAGGGAAAGGGCTCAGTGGTCAGCCACCGGCTTTGCATCCAAAAGGACCTGTGGTTTTTTTTTGGCATTGTCTGATGGGGCAGGGAAGGCCCTGTCAGAAACTTTGGAGAATTGCTGCCTATCAACTTAGAAAATGTTGAGTTAGGTGGACCAAAGGTATGACTAGGTAGACCAGGGGTAGGCAAACTAAGACCCGGGGGCTGGATCTGGCCCAACTGCCTTCTCAATCCGGCCCGCGGATGGTCCGGGAATCAGTGTGTTTTTGCATGAGTAGAACGTGTCCTTTTATTTAAAATGCATCTCTGGGTTATTTGTGGGGCATAGGAATTCATTCTTCTTTTTTCAAAATATAGCCCACCCCCCCACAAGGTCTGAGGGTCAGTGGCCCGGCCCCCTGCTGAAAAAGTTTGCTGACCCCTGAGGTAGAATATACCTTCTTGATTTCCTTTTAAGGCAACACTGCCCTCTAGTGGCTACGGGTGCCCGGCTTCCTGACAGCTGCATTCTTAAGTGTCGCACCGTCCAAGCGAATTGCTTTGTACCACTTAATTCTGCTGAGTGTATACACTAGCCCTGAATCTCCCTTTCCCTCAGTGTTTCAGCACAAGCTTTGCATGCAAAAGGTTGTAAGTCTGATCTCTGGAATCTCCAAGGAGGGTTTGGAACAACCCCATCTTAGGCCCTGAAGAGTCAGTGCAAAGGCAGACAATATTGGCAGAGACAGTATAAGGCTGCTTCCTGTATTCCTATGACAACCAAACAGCGCACATTTCAGGGCCAAAGTGGGGCGGGGGGAGGGATTGGCAGATTTAAAAGAGGAAATTACCTCCTGCTCACAATAAGCTGTAATCATATTCACCCTAAAATGTCCTCCGTATCATACTTTTCTTAAAAGCATCATTTTATTCCAAGCCAGAGTAATGCCATGGGCAAGGTTTCCCAAATTTCTCATAGAAGGAGCACACTTGTTATGTGGAAACTAAAGGGACGCTTTGCTGTTGCAACAATTTTCAGTGAAACAGTAAGAGCTACTCACCCTCAGAGGCTATGCCCCGTGCTCTTTCTGCAGGAGTCGCTGATCTTGAATAGAAAAGTGCAAGCCCAGAGCAGTGACTCACACAAAGCACAACCACCAACCTCCTCTGAGAGCGGGTGTTTATGAGGTATTGGAAATGACTGCGCAATTGAGCTTATCTGATGCAGCAGAATTACATGTATGTGCTCACATCTGGCAAAGGAGGAAGCTAAGTTGCAGCAGTGGCCCAAGTCCAGTTGCCTGCCTACTGAGATGATCAGGAGAAACTTTGCTTCCATCAGAGGAACAATAGGGGATGACATTGGACGGGGTATTTTAAGGGGCCTCGGCTATGGACCTCCTTCCTGTAGGAAAGCTGCATGGGACCCACACTGCAGTGTTTCAAAGCTCTTTACAAATGGTTCTGTCGGGCTTTTAGTTTAGAATGACCCTCATTTCCTCTGTTGCCGTTGGAATTGTGTTGCCCCCCCACCCCCCACTGCTCCACCTTTTATGTTTTTATTTCTATTCATTCTTTATTGGATTCTTAGTTTTTATTTTGCTGCCTTTTTTTTACCTCGTAAGCCACTTTGGAAAGGTCTTTTTGGCAGAAAAGAGCCTGGAAGTATAAATAAGTAGGGCTGTGGCAGACTAGCCTCCAAACGAGGAGGTAATTTGGGCTCCAGGGAACTTTTAATAATTTGATTTACGTTCTTGCTCCAGGAACACAGCTTGGGAATTAGCAACTTAGAGGAACCGATGCCATGTCTCTGGCGGCAAATAGCAGGGGTTTTATAGATTTCTCTGTGTGATATGCATCCCTACTCAAAAAGAAATAAATACATTAGTCTCTACAACCCTAGTACTGGGGACATGGCCAGTTTTTCTTTCCCTCCTCTTCTCCCCCGCCTTCCCCCCCCCCTTTAGGAGAATCTGGTATCTTCAAAATCTTTATGTGCCACAAACACCTTCTGCAAATGCCTCCAAAGAGTCAGTGGGCACCTTCTAACCTTTTTTTCACAAATACTGCTCAGCCTTTTTTTAGCATAAGACACAGGGAGGGGTGAAGTGTTTACCTTGCTAATTTCTAGCACCTCTGTCCATGGTGCTGAATATGATTTGCTAAGAATGCGTTGGCAGCAATCACAGAAATTCAAAAATGGAATTGGTATAGGAAGCACCTGTGTCTGTAGTACAAGGGTGATCCAGATGCTGCTGGACTCCATCTCCCAGCAGCCCCCGTGACCAATAGCTAGGGATGGTGGGAGTTGTAGTCCAGCAACATCTGGAGGGCACTGGGTTGGCTGGCAGTACAGAGAAAGAATCATAGAATCATAGAATGGTAGAGTTGGAAGGTGTCACAAGGGTCATCTAGTCCATCCTCCTGCAATTCAGGAATCTTTCTGCAATGTGGGGCTTGAACCCACAACCTAGAGATTAAGAGCCTCATGCTCTTACCAACTGAGCTAAGAAGCCGGCTGCTCAGGCCATGTGTTTTGCCATTTATGGGCAACTCTTCCCTATTTGTAATACAGACTCTTAGCACCACATGAACTGAGTCTCATGAACAAAAGGCTAGTCCAGGCAAAGGCGTTGTTGTCTTCTGCTGTTCATTTCAGTGGAGTTTCAATAGAGAAGCTCCCTGGGGATGGTGTCCCACGACTTCTCCCTGCCTCCTAGATCCAAGTATGCTACTTTGTCGCAGCCTGCGCTCACTCTCTAAGCAGCTAATGCACAGCCTCGGCTATAAAGATTTCTTTGCTGCATCAGCTCCGCTCTGTGACCTGTGGGTGGTCTTCTCCCGCTTGCCACATTCATCACGCCAGCTCGGCACGCAGCAGAATTTTGCTTAAAGCTGCAGAAACAAGGGAGGAGAAGCCTAATTCCATCTGCTGTAGTGACTCCCAGCCGGAGATCCTTCGAACCCCATTAAAGTTGCTCACTCCTTCAGTCGACCCCTCCAGCTGCAGCCAGCAAAGGGACTGTCACAGAAGGAAGGGACTGATAAGAGAAATGGAAGCTAATTCCAGGTATAAGTCTTGTCAAGGAGGGCTATCTAATACCACCAGGAGATGGGTATTTTCTGAATAAATCATCTCTCTGTTAGGGATTTCGCCTCTAATAATGGGAGGAGGGGTTCTTATTTATTTTCTGCTCTTGTATCATCAGAATCACTGGCTCATCTCTTCAAGAAGCGAACCTGTCTTGAAAAACTCTTGTCTTGCATGACACAGTAAACTATCATTTACCAGGGTTGTGCGAATGTACAGACTCCCAGAGAGGAGTTGCTTTGCCCCTTCTCTCTCTCTCTCTCTCTCTCTCTCTCTCTCTCTCTCTCACACACACACACACACACACACACTTTATTCCTGTACCATGCTGAACTAAGCCAAGGTTTGGTTTAGCTCTCTCCTCACTAGCCACAGGCTATAGTCACGGATAAAGCTTGGTTTACTGTGTTGCATGAACCAAGTTGCAGACACCTCAGAGAGGATGCAGAAGAGGTCAGATCGATCTCTGTTAAAATAATAGCTCTAGCTGAGTCTGTTAAGTGTCACTTTGCATGACAAAAGAGTACAGGAGACTGGCTGCCACAGAAACTACTAGCTGGAGATGCTTCCAGAAGGGGGTAGGCTTCCCCTCCCATGGCCGTAGGTGATGTCATTGCTTAGTGTGACAGAACAATGGTCCTGAGACAGTCTTAGTCTGGGCTGGAGAGGCCTGGACTGCTTCCTTCGCTGAATCCAAAAGTCACCTCTAGAAGCCTAATGGAGGAACACAGATAAGCACAGCATCAAAGCAAGCCAATTAGCATATTTCAAAGCAAATGAATATAAACATATATGAGCTCATTCTTGCAACAGCTACCAATTAGTTTTGAGGTTATCTTGACTACCAATATGGCGTTTGCAGGCCTTCCGGAACATTTCACCTTTGGTTTAACGAAAAATCTCATCAGTTGCGGTTGCTATGGAGGTGTGGTGATGCAAATTCTGCCTTAAAGTAACATATATCTATCTAATAAATGGAGCCTTTGACTGCAGCAGTGGAAACTGCTGGTCACATTAAATGCCAAGAGCATTTGTTGGCCCGCAGCTAGTGTGACATTTTCCAAAGCCTCTCAAGGGATGAAGGAGCAAAGGCACCTGACATTTCCATGAAGCAATGAATCATTATCTCCTAGCAAGGCGCAATTACCAATTCATGGTGAGGAAGGCACTGAAGACCTGAGACCTTCAGCCCTCTTGCTATCTCTTCTCAGGCAGTTGTGGTTGCAATGAGAAGCTGCATAGGTCAATGGGTATGTGGCTTTTTGTTTTTTATTTGGCACCTGGGGGCATGAAAGACTATGCAAGCTTTTGAGGTGTGTGTGTGAAACCATTGCAAATGAAGCTTGCATTCTGTGAATTGTTCCTTGCTGCTATCAGTTCTCGCTCCTCCCAAACCAAGGCGGGTTCAAGTGGAGGACAGATGAATGGGTTTAAAAGAGAATGAGACAGATTCATGGAGGATAAGGCTATCAGTGCCTTCTAACCCTGATGGAGATGTTCTACTTCCACTGTTGGAGAAAGTGTGCTTCTGAATACCAGTTAGGTGGAAAGAGTTGATGCACTCAGGTCCTGCTTGCAGGCTTCCTATAGGAATCTGGTTGGCCACTATGAGAACAGGATACTTTTTGTAGAACACATACCAGCTACTGATCCATCATGTGTCCGGTGAATTTTTGACTTGCGTTGCTAACAACTTCATCTCCCTAAAGATGGAAGAAGGAACGAGGGGATCTGCTATTCAAGACTTAATAATCCTGACCGGCAGAGAAAAACTGATCTCTGAAATGAAAGGGGGGGGGGACCTTAGGCGAGAGTGACCAAATGTCACCTTGGAATTTGGGAGCATAATTAAGCATGTATTTCCTGGATTTCAGGAAAGCCAACTTCAAGCAGCTTAGAGAAAAAGTTGGGTAGGATCTCATGGTTAAATGTTCTGAAGGAGAAGAGAGTTTAAGAGGGATGGGACGTTGTGTTAAAACGGCATTGCATTAAAGGGAAACGGAGTGGAAATAGTTTGCTTTTAAAAAGAAAACATGCTGTTTTATGTATATTGGGGATGGGGGATTCTTAAGTATTGTGGTCTGCTTCCCCACCGCCTGAAGTTCTGTTTGCTTCCAGTTCCGTTTTGTGAAGTGTGACATTATGGGGCTTGCATGAGAGAACTTCCTCTGAGTCAGCCTTGCCCACAGAGCTGCGAGAATAGAATCGGCAATAGCCGCTTGCGGTTCTCATCCCTCCACAGAGACAAAAAAGAGAGGAGTTTATACATTTTGGGTTGTAGCCAATGTTAGTCATACTCAGACTAGATGTATATAATCCTAACTGAAATATAATAATAATCCATGGAAACATCATTAAAAAATCCTGTAAAATAAAAGTTACTTTTGGCATTTGGGAACTTCCATATTGTCTTGTGAGGGAAAGAGCTTTATGACAAGTGACTGAACTGACTCACTCTAGGCCACGGCAGAGCAAGCCAACAGAGACTGCTGTGAAAAGCACATGGGCAAAACCCTGTTAAAGATTTGGCAGCCCTGTGGGTCCCATTTGGAGAAGATACAACCAACCTCACCAGCAAAGGTGTTGATACCCGGAGCAAGGACAGAGAAGTTCATGTGGAATGCATAGCCCCTAAATATGAAGCTTATGAGCAATGTGGAGCCCATGTTGGTATGGCAACCTTGAGGTGCCCACAAAACCTCTGCACCGCCCTCTCCTGGTTGATAAGGGAAGTTTCTGCTCTTTTCCCTTCAAAAGTACATAGAGCTGAAGTTGAAAGAGTGACACTCTTTCCCGCTTTCTCTTTCAGGAATTTGTGGATTGTACTCAACCAGCTTTTTCCCTTTAATTTTAATTTTTAGTAATAATTTATTTACAACATAGTCCACAACAACTCATACATACAAACAAACCCACCACCATTGACAATTTAATTATCAAAATTAAACTCCTATCCCCTTATATAAAGAAAACATAAAAATAAAAGACTTTGTTTGTCCTGCAAATAGCCTCATTTACTTCTTTTATACTGTTTCTTTTATATGTGATTATTACAATTTTTCCTAGTTATGACTTAAAAAACCACAACGTCTCCTGTAGAAATTAATGAAAACAAGTCCAGGTATATATTTTGGGGCACTCTTTGGTAAAGTATTCTCTGCATTTTCCCCATTCTTTTTGAAATTCTTGTCCGGGTTATCCCCTAATTGTCTCTGTTAATCTGGCCAGTTCAGTATAATCTAATAATTTATCCTGCCATTCCATTTTTGTTGGCACAAATTTTTCTTTCTTTCTTTCCAAAATAGACCCATTGAAATGAATGTCCCTGACTAATTGAGACGTGTTAATTTCAGTTAGTCTACTCCAGGTAAAAGTTAGCTGAATACAATCACCACATGCTTTTCAAGGCACAGATTAGTTCCACCCAGATTCGTTGGAAAAGTAAAATGTGTGGGTTTTTTCCTTGAGTGACACACATGTGTGTGTTTGTGTGTCCTGATCTGGATGAGTGAGGAGAGAAGCTATCAGAGGGAGAGTCACCCACAACAGTTACTTAAAATTACAAATGGGTCCCTGGGTCTAAAAAACATTGATGACTGGCTGCCGTTTCAGGTAACCCACAATTTCCTTATTCCTGACCTCTGTGAGCCTCTCTGGGACCCATATTTATCTCAACAATGAGGTAAAAATGCTTTAAATTTTAAAAAGGGAGGGATGATAGGAGCTGTATGGGGATGAATGGGTAGGGTTGTAAACTCACTGGGGGGGGGATGAGGTGGCTGATATGCGTGCATTTAAAACAATGCAATTTATGCAGATAAACAACTTTTATGCTAGCCACCCACCCAAAGTCTGAGCATTGCCCACAGACCCATTCTGACCCAGGCCTCAACCAGGTCTTAGCATCTTTTCCCAAAAGTCAACAGTTACAGAGGAAACAGTTAAAGTTGCTGTGCAGCACTCCTGCTAAAAGCAGGGCCATTTAATTCTCACCCCACCCCTAGCCAACATCTCCGGCTTAGATTCCATTCCAATGCCCATTTCTCAAGTTAATAGAACGTAGCTTCTGATTGTCGGTTCCTTTTTACTGTACTTAGATTGGGGTGTGTTTTTTGGGGAAGGAAGAAAATTAGTGTTTTCTGTTCCACTCTCTTTCAAAGGCTCATATTTACAAAGGGAAGGGAAAAAAGCAAGATATACATTTTCTAGGTTATCGATTCTCCTCCCACCCTCCAGCCCAAGTGCCCAGAGTTGCTGATTTCAGACTTCTTTGCTTAATGGGATAATCTTTTTTGGAGGCTCAGGGCCATGGCCTGCATTTGCAAGAGACATAAAGCAGGACAATTTGAGCTGGTTGCTTAAGAGGATTTAAGCAATGTCAGGAAGTTTAGACATGAGAGAAAGACAAATTGTTTTTTTTCTG